GAGCTCATTCCCTTCCGTGCCTCAGCAGCGGTGGGTCCTGAATCGCGGGAAGCAGATGGCTGCCCCTCTTTCCTCGAAAAGAGAGACAAATGAGAGCGGAGCTTTTTCCCTTGGAAAAAACGCTTGCAGTGCACGCCGATTGCCCCCTCGGAGACATCGCGTGCGTGGTCTTTGCCCAAACAAACAACGCATAGATCGTGTGTGTCATCAGATGTTAAACAACGTCAACACGGATGCACACATCCTTAAATGCTTTGCTAGTGCTCGCCATAATGAGATAAATAGAGATCGCTCTTACCACAGAAATGCACGCTTCAAACAAAACAGTCAATAAAGACGAAGAAGAGAATGATGTGTGCTCCCGGCGCCTATTTATACTATAGTCGCACCGGTAGTGACGGCATGGCTGTCGCCGGCCAACGAGTTGGTGTTTTTTCAATGTATGCTTCAGACACGGGTCACGACGAGGCGTTCCCCATAGCGACCCCTAGAGGACGCAGTTCGAAGTTCCCATGAAAGGGAACTAAAATGTGCATTTGAATACAGATATACACCAAAGGCGAGGTTATAACAGTTGATTTATGCAGTCCATTTTGAACACACAAGCAAATCCATACAAATGCATGCATAAATCTGACCAGTCAGGTTGGATGATTATCTAACTGGCAAGTCTGTAAAGTGCCCGTTTGATAGGAAAATAAAAATAAAAATTCAGGCTATCTCTGTGTGTACATTTGGCCATCTAGTTAAAAAGTTTAAAACAATAAATGGGCTTTAACAGTGAAAATGCATAATCTAAAAAATTCCTCCAGATTATAGGTTAAGTTCATAATAATAAGCAGCATTTTAATAAACTGCTGGAGGTATGAATTCTGAGAGAGCCTTAGAGTCTTTACCCCGACTAAAACGTGTCCTAATGAGATGCAATACGGTTTTTAGACCAATGAAATTTCACATTAGGCAGGAAACCTATAGAAACCAAGTAGTCCACAAAATGTCCTGCTGTGGTTGGTTAGGGCCAAAACTCTCTACATTTACAAAGATGAGATGGTTTTATACCGTATCACTTATACCAGTCATCGCCTCATAGGACATGTTGGTTTTGAATTATATTAAATTGCAGTAATCATGAAAAACTTAGTAAACATAAAAAAACTGCATGTTAAAAGAATATTTCTCACAGCTCCACATGACACAACAAAAAGTATATAAGTGTTACTGTAATCAAAATGCTTTAAACCATATTGCACATAAGTTCATCATTCCATAATCAAACACAAATCTGTTCACTGTCTCCCCATTGGATGTTCACTTGCCCTCAAAACAAATTACTACAACACATGCGTGTAACCATTAAAAAAACTCACAGAATAACAGTTGTATCATGCAATCAACTTATTTACATTCACAGTGACATGCACTCCTGATGCAGATTTCTTAAGCTATATATGCATGTGTTTAAACACAAAAAAAGTGCATCATGTAATATGAAATAGAGGGAAAGATAGACAAAGAGACAGAGAGAGTCTCTTTTTATGCCATCTTTTCCAAAACCTCAATTCCTCTAATGCAATACAAAAAATGCAATCATACACATTTTATATGTGTCAAACATGATGCATGCACATTTTTCTGTGATACAAATTTACATGCATAAAAAACATACAATTTATTTCTTCTCCAGCATAACTTATGCTTGATTTGCAAGACTGAAAGAGCACCTCAGGTTATATACTACTGAAGTCTTGAAAGTCAAAAATTGCAGCAAATAGGAAATGTAACACTGAAGTAGGCCTTTAAAACTCACTGCTGCCCCCATGCTGCCTAGAGCGAATACAAATGGGTCTAACCAAAGACTGAGTCTAATCAAAAGAAAATTTTTGCAAATTTGTATTTCACTTCTCATCATATAGATATAAAAATAGACCATGTTGTCCCGCCTTATTGTAATAGTACATGCCAACTGTAATTAGTTTTTGTCGTGTAGTGTTTTTGCACATTCAGCATACTGAAGTTCTTCCATTAGTGTTTGGAAGTGAATCAAAACCACGGAATGTAGTTCAACCAGTCTGTTGACATCCTAAGTGCTTATCGATATGCAGTATGTAATTCTTAGAAACTTAAACTAATAAAGTGCTTAGTTAAATGCCCGGGGCCTATGTAGACCTGTTTGGAATCCTATTATCCTGCAGGAGTAACTGCACCCTGAGTCCTTCTCCTCAGCCTTTCCATCTGGATTCATAATTGTCCACCTTTCCAGCTGCAAGTTAAGCAGAAGTGTGGAGAATCCAGCTCTGTTTGGTCAGATCCCTAATGACATGGGTCGAACGGACCCATTTCTGTCATACACACTTTTGTATATATATATAAATAAATATTTTCCCTATCAACTCTTCAGCAAAAATACACTACCATTTTGGGTTTGGGGTCAGGAGGTTTTTTTCCCCTCTTATGCTCACCAAGATTTATTGTATTTATTTGATCAATACAGTAAACAAAAAAAAACAAAAAAAATAATAATAATTGATGTCTATCTTAAAACATTATAAATTGTAATTGTCCTCTGATGGAAAAACTGAATCTTCAGCATCATAACTCCAGTCTACAGTGTCACATGATCCTTCAGAAATCATTCTAATAGGCTGATTTGCTGCTCAAGTAATACTTCGAATCATTATCAGTGTTGAAAACAGTTGTGCTGCTTAATATTTTTCAATCAATCAATCAGTAAATCAATCAATCAATCAATCAATCAATCAATCAATCAAAATGTACTGACCCCAAACTTTTGAATTGTAGTGTACAATATATTCCCATGTTGTCTGTCAACTGTTTAGAATCAGAACTAACAATTCTTGTCAGAGTTCTATAAATTAATGCAAAATTAAAGCCTAAAAAAGAACCAGCAATACCCAATTCATATATGAATAACATATTATGAATAACTTTGTGTTGATTCTTTTGAACAAATTGGTTAGCATAATGTTGTAATTATAGCATAATGTTCTAAATGATAGTTTGTGATTCAATAATGAATAATTCAATAATAAACTGAAAAATTCCAATAAAAAAAATTCCAGTTTCTCCAATAAAACACTAACTGAATATTTTAGAAAAAAAATAGAAGAAAATGAAAATGAAAAATTTACATGGATGAAGTAGAATTTGGTACTTTAAGTACAAATCAAAGTAGTCTATGCACTGACAAAACACATTATTAGTGTTTATTATGTGTAGACTTGAGCAGCATGCCAGCATTAGTTGTAAATAGTTTAGTTGACAGCACATAAACAGTCATTGAGAGAAGAGGTCTGTCTTGTTTCGGTTTAAAAAAAAACAGTAGAATGTATTCACGTCAACCACGGATAAGCCAATTAAGCTAATTAGGCAGGATGATGGAAATGACTGAGAAGCCAAGAGGAAGAGAGAGCTTTGCAGACTGTTGCAAGGGCAGGGCAAGGGCATTATCAGGGTAAGCCTGGTGACCCCTTTTCTAGGTCTAGCATTTTATCACAATGCATTTGATCACAATCATATTGTCTAATGTTTATGACATATTTGATTGTATCAATTTAAATACACTTCTAAGCTAAAATGTTTTTGTAAGGATTGCCTGTGTTTAATGAATCTAGAGCATTAATCTTTTATTATACAAACCCTGTCTTATAATTGGATGATTTCTTTACCTTGTCATTCACCAGCAGCTCCATGGGATTGTTGCCCCATTCAATCAGGACAAGTTCGTTGGCCTGGCCCGGGACAGAGTTGGAGAATGGGGTTCCGATCCCAGGACCTGAGCCCCCTTTCAACCAAAGACAGACAGTGAGGGCAAAAATCTCACTCAGAAGGGTGCGCTTGATTCGCCCATATATGTAGTTGGTGCGCATCGGGAAGCCAATCTGAAAAGCATCAGGATTCTTGGGCTTCTTATTTGGTCCTGTTAGAGATGAAAATAAGAAACTGTGAAACAGGATTGCATTTCTCAGCAGTATAACCTCTAAAAGCTCCACTGAAATCTTTAAAAGACAGTTGGAGACTTTGATCTCCTGGAAGCAGACTATTTAACTAAATTCTCTGCAGTTTTCGCATTTAACCCATTCAGATCTCAAATATGTTCCAGGAGCACAAATAAGACCATTGATTTTTCAAGATTCTGCACATACAGATGTCCTGTTCAAATAATGTAAATTTGATTAGCCGGAGTTAATTCAGTTCTATTTTGTAATACTTTTAGGACTTATCACCTGTTTCTGGAGTTTTGTGGTGAAGGTTACTCAGCACTGCGTCTAATTTGTTGATGGCTCCACGGACAGGCACTCTTGACCCTGGTGGTTGGATTGAGGTTTGTGGATGGTGGACATGATCATCATTTCCATGGTGTCCACCATCATGGTGTCCATTGCCATGATGGTCATCATCATGATGATCATCATGGCCACTTTGATGATTGTCTTGGTGATTGCCATGGTGGTCGTCGTGGTGGTCACTGTAACGGTCGTAGTGATGACCATAATGGTGGTTACGATGGTGGCTAGAGTGATGGTCATCGTGATGGTTTGCCTGATGGCTGTCATGGTTATCATGATGGTCATCATGGTGGTTATTGTGGTGGTTATTATGGTGGTCATCCTGGTCATGGTTATCCTCATGATGACCATATCCATGACGGTTGTCATGGTGACCATAGTGATGATGGAGCTGTTCTTCCAGTGCGTTGATCTTGCGCTGCAGGAGGTCTCTCAATGAACTTGAATAGGAACTGGATGAATTTCTTGCCTATATGAACAAAAATGACAATAAACAAAAATATACAGTTTAGGCTAGATTTTAAACACAACGTTTGCAATGCAACGATAATAATAACCAATGCAAATATATGCGTATTTTATAAAATTATCACAATTGTTCCACAGAACTTAACCAGTATTTAAAAAAGTTTTATTTTATAAACCATAGGACACCATGTTTTTTTTTCAATAACAGACCAGGTTTACTGTAGAAACTTTTTACCATTAACATTCAATATACACTACTGTTCACAAGTTTGATGTCAGTTGTATTTATTTATTTTTTTTTAATAAATTAATACTTGTATTCAGCCAAGGGCACATTAAATTGATCAAAAGTGACAATACAAAAATTATAATTTTACAAAATCTTTCTATTTAAAATAAAAGCTGTTTTTGAACCTCCTATTCATCAAAAATTCATGAAAAATGTATAATAAGAAGAACTGTTTCTTGAGCACCAAATCAGCATATTATAATGATTTCTGAAGTATTATGTGACACTGAAGTTCCAAAAATTCAGTTTTGCCATTGCAGGAATTACATTTTAAAATATATTCAAAAAAGAAAACAGTTATTTTATTTTAATAGTTATTTTAATTTCACAATATTGCTGTTGTTACTGTATTTTTTTTTATCAAATAAATGCAAAGAGACTTCTTTCATAAATATAAAAAATCTTATCGACCCCAACATTTTGAACGGTAGTGTATTAGAATACAGACAAGTGTGTTAAAATCACAACAGCCCCTCCTTCACTGTCAGCACTCCTTCCTCTGATTAGTCACAGCAAATCCAGCTTTACTCTGCGCCACAGCATTCTGCGCTTAATGGCTTATCAAGGCAGATGGGGCTAATTAGTGATGGCAGCAACTAGCACATTTGCAGAGTGCCGTCACTAGCGTGCAGTGCGTGCATTTCCTCTCAAAGACAACAATTCTGATAAACCTTGTGGTCATATTTAAATCACTTTGGGAAACAGGAAGAATATCTGAGTTGTAAAGCACATCAAACGTTTACAACATTAAATCCTTCATCAGCCATTCATTTGTGTACTAAAGACCCATTAAAAAAGAAGAGTTTAAATGCATGGCAACAGTTTCACTGCATACATACTGTATTCAAAGAAAGTGTCACATTGTGGCTGGTTTAAAGGATCAATTGTAAGTGCATTGTAACCATAAGTATACGGGTTATCCATGTTAATGTAGCATGGTCCTTTGTGCTTTCCCCAGGGTAGGGATCTGGCTAATTAAATAAACAAATCCCGACTGGCCTGCCTAAACCTAAGACTGTCTTCAATGATCTGTCATTGTCACAGGAAGCCACCAAAGTGTATGTTACAAAAACGGAAAAGAGCTTATGTCATGCTGAGAAGTTGTCCTGAATACAGATCGGCCTGTGACATGCAGGATAACCCCTAAAGACAAAATCTAAGCAGTTGGAAAACATGGAAAATCCAGGAAATTTAAAAATTGATTTTTCAGGCCTGGGAAAGTCATGGAAATAATATTCCTTAAAATAATTTCCATAACTATGTGATTCCTTGGGGAAACACTACTGATCAAAAGTTTGGGGTCAGTTTTTTATAATTTTTTTATTATACTTTTATTTACCAAAGATACATTGTACTTATCAAAAGTGACAGTATAAAGACATTTATAATGCTACAAAAGATTTCAACGAAATGGTGTGCTTTCTATTTATGAAACAAGAAGCAGCCAGAGACTCGCCGCGCCTTCAAAATAATCCAACTGAGGTGCGTAGACCAAAAAAAAATAATAAGAAGAAATGTCTCTTGAGCACCAAATCAGCACATCAGAATAATTTTTGAAGGGTCATGTGATACTGAAGACAGAAGTAATGGCTGCTGAAAATTCAGCTTAGTGATCACAGGAATAAATTACATTTTAAAATATATTCAAGTAGAAAACAGTTTTTTGAAATTGTAATAATGTTTCCACAATATTCCTGTTTTTATTTTATTTTTGATTAAATAAATGCAGCCTTGGTGAGCATAGAGACTTGTAAAGAAAGACCCAAAACCTTTTAAAAGTAGTGTGTATATATGTTTTTTTTGCAATTATTTACAGGCTTTAACTTTCAGTTTAAGACTGTAAACCTTCCCACCTGAAGATTTTCCAGCCTCTCCTTCAGGGCCTGCAGGGTCTTTCCTGTCTGTTCTGGGGAGAAGCTGTGTTTGCCCAGATATGGAGATTTGCCTCTGTGATGGTCACTGCGATGCCCGTTTAATGGGAAGTGTGGGTCAGCATGGTGGCTGTCATAATGGTGTGAAGAATGCTGAGAGTTGTGATGTGAAGGGCCGTGATGGTTGTCATCATGGTGTCCCCTTCCAAAGCTCTCGCAGAGAGTCAGTTTTGCTGTCAGTTCCCGAATGGTCTCTCGCTGATCCAAGATGGTCTCCTTTTGTCGCACAAGGCTCTCCCTCAGGTGAAGGATGGTGGCTTTGGCCTCATCGGATATGCCATGTCGGCTACTACTACTGCTGCTGTGACTACTCGGCAGCCCGCTAACTGCCCCATGATGTCCATTCCCATGGCCATTCCCGTGTCCATTGCTGTTTGGCCCATGTGGAGCCCCATGTACAGTCCCATGCGAAGCCCCACCTGGTGTGAAACAACTAGGGTCTGCATCTGCAGGAATAGGGATGCAAACAAGTTTGGGTTGCGTTCCCCAGTCATATTCCAAACCTGGAATGCTACAAACTGTAACCGATGGTAATAAAGATATGAGAAAAATAAGAAAGTGGGAATGAAAAAACCCTCCCCAGTTCATGTGTTCTGAGAAAGGCAAAGCCATAATGGCATAATTTGTGTTTTTCGTCATCATTGATTTCTTCTTTACAGCAGTGGGATGCACACCATGAAAAGAGGTCATTGGAGAACAATCAGTGGATTTAGAAATCCACAAGAAATGTTCAGAAAATGCATTGCTTATATTTTTGTGAGCACAGAATGTTATTTCCACTGTGAATGGTTATAAATCCATCAGACGCAGACATTCCAGTGTACAAACACACAAGCCAACAAACCAGAGTAAAAGTAGGACCCCTTGACCGCTCTTTTGCCCTGGCCTGATGAAATATTTGGCAAACCGGATCTCCAGTATTTGGAGTTAGCAGTAATCCTTTAATTTCCAGATTCTGTCAGGCACATCCCTGCAGATTAGAAGAGAGATTTCAGTCAGCTGTGGCCCAAGGAAAAACACTTTTGGGGTTATTTACAATCATTTTAGTAAAAAAACAAAGACAGTAGTGGGATCGCATATAGCTCAGTTCTATTTACTGAGTTGATCAGTCAACAACATGGACTTGTTGAGTCAGACGCGCACCTGGGGTGAATGACGCTAACAGCTGAAACCCCCCTTGGCTATTGTAATCAGATTACTGTTACAAACGTGATGCAAATGATGAATGATGGCTTTCAAAATAGATAGACAGACAGACAGACAGACAGATAGACAGATAAACAGATAGACAGATAGACAGATAGATAGATAGATAGATAGATAGATAGATAGATATAGATTGATTGATTGATTGATTGATTATTTTTTAAGATCTATAGTTTTGTCCTGGTAGAATCTGCCTGAGGATCTACATCACAGGAAGGGGCTCTTGCACTTGAGTCCCCAAGGTTGACTGTCTAATAGGATCTAGGAAGGCTTAAAGGCCATGGTGGATTGGCATGCTTATAGTAGTCTCTTCCTGCAGTATTGCTGCCATCACATGTGTCGGTGGTGTTGGGTCATGGTCTGGCGCTCATAAGCCAGTTCAGAAACACTCTACATGTAGCCAGCAGTCTCCTAAGAGGCTTGCCCATTCCACATTTTCACGCTGTATGGCACGCCACCCTAGACATATCACTAGACAGAGCTCATGGCATCCTCGTGTGACTGAGACAGAATGAGTGAGAATGTGAAAGATCAAGGTGATTGCCAATGACACTTTCAGCTTAGTTAGGCTTGCAGCAAACTTGAGGAGACTTTACAGACTATTCAGCTGTATAATTAGAGTCCACTAGACATGTTTCTTAGGGTGCTTTTCACACATAATGTATTCTTGCTTTTAAAAACATTTGCAATACAATAGAACAGACCTCAGGTGTTTTGAGAATTTTGAAAGCACCTGAATGTTTATTTTTTTTGCCTTGAAATATCAGTTTCAAAATCATTCTCATGGTACATTTCTAATACGTCTGTTCTGGGAGTATGTCAATTTGGGTACAGAATTCTGTGAAAAGGGCAGATTGCTTTACAGCAGCAACAAATGCCTGTGTAAAGCGATCAACTGTAATTATGACAGTGATATATATTTTGAACAGTGAAATTTCACTCACTTCAAGGGATAGTTCACCTAAAAATGAAAATGTTGTCATCATTTACTCACCGTCCACTTGTTTCAAACCTGTATGAATTTGAACAGTAAAAAAGATCATTTGAATAATGTTAGTAACCAAACAGTTGACAGTAGCAATTGGCTTCCATAGTATGAAAAAAATACTTTGAAAGTCAATGGCTATCATCAAATGTTTGGTTACCAATATTCTTCAAAATATCCTTAGTGAGCATAAGAGACTTCTTTCAAAAATATTCATAATCATCAGTTGATGACCATTTTGTCCATACCTGTTTTGCAAGACATCAACCTTTTTTGACCAATTCTTTCTGCTTTTTAAAGAACAGTCCACAACTAGCAGTGCAGTGAGTGCACAAATGCATTTGTGAATTGTCTGGTACTCTTACACACCAGTCAGAATTATTACATATAATTTAAAGAGGAACCTACTGAAAGAATCTCAACTAGGGTCGTCACCAAGTCGAGATACATGAACTTTGTCTCAGGAATCACTTACAGTAACACCTGTCCTGCTATAGGCCCTGATCTCAGCCTAATTGTACTGATACTTAAATGAATCTGTTAAATCATTCAAAATCTGTTGGCTAACTAGGAAGTAGACTGGTGCTAAGCTCCTTAAATCTGTCTGTATCATGTCACAAACAGATGTCATGGATGTACATTTACACTTGATTAGCTCTAAAATCATGGATATCTTATTAAAAGGGTCATTTATATAGCCTACATGATTTTACCATTTTAAATTAATTTACATTAGATGTTTTTTTTTCATCCTCAAAGAAAAGGACATGGGTTGAGTACATGCAATCATTCAGAGATGCAATGAATGGCTGGTGGTAGAATAGGGGTTAAAGGTCTGGACTAACGGTAGACTAATGGTTAAAAGTGCAACAACAATTAAATCCCAAAGAATGGTGGACCAAGAAGAGCAACAATTTTACTTTGGAAACTGTTTCTGCAATTAAGTTGAAGTTACTTTGGACCAAAAACATAAACACAAAATATCAGGAAGCAAAAACTAAAAGTAAACCAAAATGACCAAATGGATGCCATTCTTGTTTGCATTTGGAGGAAGCATTCAGGCACTTAACAAATCAAATCATCCATAAAATACCACAAGACTTCCTGGCTGCTCAGTAGTATGTATTACTAGTTGCTTAAAAGATTGTTGTTTTAGATTATATCAAATGCAAGTGCAAGTCTATGTAAGTCTAAACGCCATCTAGTGTGTTAGAAAACTTAACACTTTCCATAGAGTGTCCATGTTACCTATATTACTGTGTGTTGTTTGGTAGTATTACTCAGTACTTGCTTGTCTAATTTTACAGTAACATGAACACTGTAGTGTAAAATTGAACCAAAACCTAAAATAATCATCCATGTAGGGCATACTGTTTGTAACATTATTAGCATGAACAGGTGTCCTTAGAACAGATTGAGATTTGTTCACCTAATGAATCGGATCAAAGTACTTCATGAGGTACTGTGTCCTTTGTTGACCACATATTAAAACTATTAAAACTTCCAGTTGCCACAATGGTTTTATATATACAAAAACCTTATGTATTTGCATAAGGCGACTGAAAACAGTGCTGTAGATGAGTATATAGCGGGAGAAAAGATGATTGCTAACCCTAAGGCTCTTGCAAGCTTTAAAATGAACCTCTAATAAGCTTTAAGAAAAATATTGTTTACCACTGTAAACAACAGTAAACAGTAAAGGCACGTTTATGCTATCATTACTAAAAAAAAAAAAAAAAAAGCTGAAACTCGCCAGACAATCAATGAAATTATTTCTATTTTAATTTTACAAGAACACAATTGTAAAAACACAGTGTATGTGATTTATAGGCATGACATAGTTACTGTCCATTGAAATATCCATCACAATATTCATGCATTCCTCTTCTAAAAGACATTTCCCATCTATATTTACTGTGTGTAACCATGCATTGTAAATTAGCAATATAATCAATATCTAAATACACAATCTAAAACCTCAATTTAGAATTCCCTTAAAAAATATACAAATAAACAAATAAATGGCAATATTTTAGCAGCTCAAATTTCTCCAAAAAGGAAGAATTAAGTTTGCGAGGGCAAAAACAGATGATCTTACATCTTCAGTTTTCCTAAAACCACATGGCTATTCATGCGGAACAAAAGTAATGCTCATTACATTTGATAAATAAAATATCAGCAGTGCAAAGCGGAACGAACGTTAATCATACAATAAAATGCCACAATTATATCACACTTTCTAAACGACACTGATAATTGATCTGAACCATACCTTCTGAAGTAAATTTGAATCAGCTCCATCAGAAAGTTGCCTATGAGTTTTCTGGAGAATTAAAAAGGTCCCTCACCTGCAGTCAGCCACAGAGTTGGGGCAAGTTGGTCTATTCCAAACACACTGATCAGATTGAGAAGGATTTGCTTTAGGGAGGATCATTTTAACTCTCTCCACTCCCCCATCCTTCCCTCCCTCCCGTTATCAGTCCTCTTTAAATTTAATAGCTTTAAGGGTTCTTTTGATTGTATTTTCTCTTAAAATGCAAAATTGCAACACCACAAAAGTACTTGCCTCATCGCCTATTCCTAAACACTGATCCATGAGACCATTATGGGACACAAGACTTGCAATTTAAGGAAATTTAGAGGTGAACTGAGCTGAAATTATTAGTTTAAGTTTTATATTTAGTTTTATTTCAGCTTTATTTTGATTATTAATAACATTATATTATTACTAATAATAATATAATTATTTAAAATTATATAATAATTATTACTGCTAAATTACTAAAAAAAATGACTAAATTATATTAAGTTTTAGTTAGCGAAAACAATAATTACAATTGTAGTTTTTTTCTTAATATTCAATCTTTATGTAATATATAATCTCTGACATTTATAACTTAGTTTTAGATCCAAAATGCAGACATAACAGATATGTACAGTAAAAGATATGTAGGCAGACTCCACAGTTTTCAGCACCAATGAAACAATTAGCCATGAAGAAAGGAACAGGTCTCGTACTGTCTCATATTTGTACTTAAGTATGTTTCATAATCCACACTAATTGTGCTGTCAAGGTGCTAAACTTAGTCTATGTAGTCACTGCTGACCCCACTCAGTCTGGTTATGGCATCCTGATAATAGATTCGGCTCATGTGACCTGTGAACAAACCTGCTGGCACACCAACAGAGTTGAGACTTCAGCAGAAGGATATAAGGGACAATCTTGATTTCTTTTAGGAAATTAAGGAAACTCTTAATTTATTTAAATTACATTTGCATTTTTTACTGTAATCTGTAATTTGTAACAATGGTACTTGAATGTGAAATGGGACAGCTGGCAGCCCTAACCTTCCATGATATAATGGGCATCAGTCCTAAAGCTATTCACGCACACAACCGATACCAGTTGGCCTAAAAAGGGAGAGAAAGTGAAATACAGGATCTTTGAATTTGTTTTAGTATGGTACTTTTGACAAATATGTTCATGATTATATACAGTTTAATTGGATGAATCAAGGCTGCATTTATTTTAGCAAAAATAGGCAGTAATATTGTGAATATTATTACAATTATAAAGAAATGTTGTCTATTTTAGTATCTTTTAAAATGTAATTGATTAATTATTGATGCCATCATTGATGCCTTTACTCCAGTCTTCAGTGTCACATGTTGATTTGATGCTTAAGAGACATTTATTATTATCAATGTTGAAAATGCTTGTGCAGCTTAATACTTTTGTGCAAAGCGTGATATATATTTTTTCAGGATCCTTTAAAACAAATCTGAAATAGAAATCTTTTGTAACATTATAGTATATGTTTTGATCAATTAAACACATTCTTGCTGAATAAAAGTATACATTTAAAATAAAAAACCTCTTACTGACCCCAAACCGTAGTATATATATATCATCTACATTTATATAACATATTATTATCATTATTATTAATAATAAATATTTTAATAAGTGAATATAGAACTTAATATAAGTTATATAACTTTTAATATATACAGAAACGTATGGCAAAATGAACGAGGATCTAAGTCCAAATTGTTATAATCAATTAGTTATTTTAAGCAATACAGATTAATGCATATGTATAAATTAATGTAAAAATCATGCCACAACTCCTGTGGGTAACCCCAAACAACATTAGCAGAGGATCTGGTAATCTGTGCTGAGACAGTCTCAAATAGCCTACAGATCGCCAATAATGCTCCAGATTGGGGCCTGTCCAAGTGAGGCATCTGCACATTTACACCTAGTACATGGAGGGCTGAGTAGTTTCAATCTTAACTGTGCACATATGAGCTTGGTGCACTACTTTAAATTGTATGAACGAGTGCCTTGCAAACATTGATGAAGAGTGAACTTGCTGGCGGACAGAATCCCGTGTGTTTTCCGAGAGCTGGTCTGCCAACATCCTCTTCGCAGGCACTCTTGAGTTAAAGTAAAGGACCTGCTGTTAGATTGGGAAGAGACTGCAGCTTTGCCAAATGCACCCTAAAATAAAATGTCTAAAGGGGTATCAAAGGGCAATGACAGCAAGAGCAGAATGTGATGCCTGACCCTGAATTGGTTGTGATTAATAGTTACATGACTCAAATGCATCACAGACACACAGATCTTTACAGCATTTAACCATTTTTTCATTCCAGATATGAAAAAATACCTGCATTAATGGTGTGAAAATAAGAGAGTTTAAAGGAAACACATTTTTATTGTGAAGAATTTAATAATTTTAATAACTGAAGAACCTTTGTGCAATGGAAAGCTTCTTAATGCAAATGTCAATAAATAACCTTTTTAAAGGTGTATAATATTTGGTACTGTTTCTCCAGCAAAAGATCGGATTTTAGGTTCAGGATCCGGTGAATGGCTTCCGCTGTTGGTGTTGTGTAATCTTCCACTTATAGCTGTAATTGATCCTTAATTAACAGCTCCTGCACTGATCACTCTCCTCTGTTTAGTAAGACTGAGCTACAGCGACTCTCCACTTGACTTTCAGCACTTACCGTTAATCAATTGCTATATGCACTATGTGGACTGTAGCGTTGTTTAGGAGTATGGAGAGGAGTGACATGAATGAGAATGACTGGGCAGCAGTACAGACAACAGAGTTTTTTATAGTATGAAGCTCTGTTGGCATTAATCTCTATCTCTTTCTCTCCTGTGCGTCAGGACAATGTTTAATGCTCACACACACACACAGAGAGAGAGGCAGTGAGGCATTACAGGCAGGGTGGGAAATTAACCATTTTGCCCACTATCCACAATGGCTGATCAGTGCTGAGATCCTGAACTGAGTGAAAAGTGAAGAACACAGTTCTTTTTGCATTCACACTGGAATTGAAAGTGGAATTCTATTACATTTTCACAATCACAAAATATTTGAAAATGCATTAATGTCAAAATGAATCCCACATTTACTGTAAGACAAAATTCTGGGTGACTTGGATGAACAGACCCTTTTCATAAACTGTTATAACACATTTCCACAGTTATTAGCTTCATAAATCTATCAAAGGTTTTTATATTTTCAATTTTTTTTTATTTAATGTACATTTACATCACTATACTTTCTTAAATTATTAGTTAAATGTGTGAGTGTTTTTACTGGACCCTTTTTTGTGATAAGGCGTTTCCCCATCTTTTAATATCATAGATCTATTAAAGTTGATTTGTATTTTCATTTTTTTTAAATACTATAGTTTGTGTTTTATTAATCTTGCATTAAATTACAGAAAACTGGTTATTGCTGCTGTAAGTGATTCTAATAGGCTACAACATAATCATAATCTCTCTATATTATTTCCTCTTTTGGAAAGTCATGAAAGCACTATTGCACTATTTTTTCTTTTGCTATTGGATCTAACGGGAACACAAAAATGAGTACTGCTTCTGAGAAGCCCGAAAGTGCAACAGGGTCTGGACTGACAGAAATTTGTCAACTTTTTTCTCTTCTAACCAAATGAATTTCTCTAGTATTTTTTATTCTTTTGTAAAGTTATTTAAAAAAGCTATAGTGGATTTTTTCTTTTGCTATTGGAGCAAATGGGAATGCAAAAATCATATTTGTTATCCGTTCACCACTATAGAAATTTACCCAACTATGAATGTCTTCTGCTTTTAAGAAACCTATGTGAAAAGATTCCATTGGATCAGAATAAACAGCCTGATCCTGTAAGACATGTGCCTTACCATTTTTTTTAATCTTTCTCAAAATGTTATCAAATGTGTTCAACAATAGTGCGTCTTTGTTTTCTTTCAGTTCTTGTCAAAGGCCAGTCTGAAACCAGTCACCTGCTAGATTACAAATTGCAAAATTAGATTGCAAAATTACCCAAACTGAACAGTGCTTAATGACAAAGGTGAAAGGCAAAAAGTTTGGTTACATCAAATGTTGTAATACCACAAAACTACATCATTATAAACAGAGCATTGTGACAGACCTGCAGTTCACAATAGCCCATTTTTTTTATTTTTTGACATGCACAGCTACTCCAGTCCCTCTATTCTGCCTTCTCATCTGAAATAAAATAATTGTATGCACCAATATAACATATGAGAGGTGTCAGACTGCTATGCATTTTACTTCTTAAATTCTAACCTTTATTTCAGGTGATGTTTCTGGTCTACTACTAAGGAGACAATTGCATTTTCCAAGCCATATCTCAAGCATCATCAGAGCACCTTGCTAGATATGAGTAAAAGATGAGAAAGTTCACTCTCCAAAAAAAAAAAAAAAAAAAATTCCTCGTCTGTAACTACACTACTGTTTTAAAGTTGGTAAGATATTTTATATTCATATTTTTGATATTTTATACTCTTATACTCACCCAGGCTGCATTGATTTGATCACAAATGCAGTAAAAACAGTAACACTTCAACATATTTTTATAATTTATAATTTTTATAATAAATGTTTTCTCTTTGAATTTAATTTATTCCTGTGACGGCAAAGAAAAAAATTCAGTAGCAATTTCTTCAGTCTTCAGTTTCACATGATCATACAGAAATCATTCTATTGTGTTGATTTTTTCAAGAAACATTTATTATTCATATCAATGTTGAAAACAGTTGCACTGCATATGTTTGAGCAAAACTGTGATGTATACAACTATTTCAAGATTGGTTGATGAACAGAAAATTCAACAGAACAATACATATTTGAAATAGAAATCTTTTGTAACATTATACTGTAAATGCCTTTATTGTAATTTTGAATCAATTTATTGCATCCTTGCTGAAGAACTGCATTCATTTCTTTCCCCCCCAAAAAAAAAAAAAATCGTACTGACCACAAACTGTTGAACAGTAATGCATATGCAGTTAAAATTCAGGCTTGTTAAGCACTTGTGTTTGTTGCCCCCAATAGAAACCATCTGGCTTGTGGCACATAAGTAATTTGAGTTTGCGACCCCTATTATAGGGGATTCATTCCCTGACACTGACAGCCAATATAAAAATAGGCAGATGTTATATTATACCCTGTTTAATAGGCTGATTGGATTTCTGTTGAGGCACCGCTGCCTGGTGGCGCCACTTACTGGACAGTGTTGGTAAAGCAGCGGGATCTATAAAGGTTAGTGAGTGCACAAATCAGAGCCAACGTCATGCTGAGCACATAAGACTGCAGCACAGTGTCTGTCTCTTTCTCGCTGGCTCTCCTTCCTTCTGTCTGATAAGGCTACATAATACAAATGAGCACCAACCATGTCAGTACATCATAGATTCACTGAATGGATTGAATACAGATTGGATTGCAAGCATGTTGAAGGCAAGCTGCAATAATCTCAACAGCACATACAGTGGGTATAGAAAAG